CATAAAATAATTATTCATGTTAACGTTTATAATCTATTACATATTACGTATTTTCTGTTTGAATATCACAAACACTAAATATTCAAAGGCATTCCTAAATTTTAACGGGATACAAAAATATTTTAATGTCTAATACATAAAAAGTACGTAAAAGAGTGCAGTCTTGTGGTATTAACAAAGTTTATGTCCGGATTAGGATAAAAAGGGTACCATCTACCATGTCAATAAACAAAATCAAAATATAAATTTTATTTTTAAATTTAGAATCTCTTATTGTTAACAGATTTGGTATCTGAAGTAAAATAAAAATGTCACGATGATGGTATCATAAAAATATCTACGAAATAATTTAAACATAAAAAAGCTTTCCCAAATTTTGGCGTATCAGTTAGTCGACAAAATTCTTCAAACCTTAAATGTAAATGTAAAATAGCGCTCGTAAGTTTTTGGCATGTTACAAAATTATTTCTGGAACATCAGCATATAAGAAATAATTAAAAAAGCATTTAGAAACTTTTATTGGTAGCAGATACGGTATTCGAAGTAAAATAAAGATGCCACAATGATAGTATCAGTAAAATACCCAGTGAAACGCTTAAATTTTAAAAATGCGTTCGTGTACTTTTCGCGTGTTGCATTTTTATTTTAATAAGTATAACACATGAAGAATAAAAAAAGGATAACAATAAAAATGCAATTTTGTTGGGTAGTATCAAAAAAAATCCCTGCTAAAGTGTTACAAAATTATTACGGTATAGGTATAAGGTATAAGGATGTCAATATCAATCAAGAAGCACTCGTAAAATGTGATAGAATACTATTTTGAGGGGCCCCAAACCCTTTCTTTTCTCCGAGCCCCACCGGGCTTAAGATAATTAGAATTAAGCTTTCACCAATTAACAAAAATAAACAATAAGACTATTACGTAAAAATATATAAAAATAAAAAGCATAATAAAAAATAGTTTTAATAGTAAAAAGAATAAATCTTAATATTGTCGTTAGGAGTACGTTGCACATATTAGCAAATAAAATAAATAGCGTATTAATTATTTACTAATTAACGGTAAAAATAAGCGAGTATTTCCTAAAAAATTAAGTACCTTTTCCTGGCTCAAGTTGTCAATTATATCGTCACACTTAATTATTATCTAGTTATCTACAGCATCTTCTATACACAATACAGCTCATCATCATAAGGTCGTCAGTTTTAGGACAAGTTGGACACGCACCTCCACTCTTTTCAATACTGAGCTAATCTTCGCATTTCCCNGAGCCCCACCGGGCTTAAGATAATTAGAATTAAGCTTTCACCAATTAACAAAAATAAACAATAAGACTATTACGTAAAAATATATAAAAATAAAAAGCATAATAAAAAATAGTTTTAATAGTAAAAAGAATAAATCTTAATATTGTCGTTAGGAGTACGTTGCACATATTAGCAAATAAAATAAATAGCGTATTAATTATTTACTAATTAACGGTAAAAATAAGCGAGTATTTCCTAAAAAATTAAGTCCCTTTTCCTGGCTCAAGTTGTCAATTATATCGTCACACTTAATTATTATCTAGTTATCTATAGCATCTTCTATACACAATACAGCTCATCATCATAAGGTCGTCAGTTTTAGGACAAGTTGGACACGCACCTCCACTCTTTTCAATCCTGAGCTAATCTTCGCATTTCCCCAAAACTAGAACAACCTATATCATTAACTATTTGCGAACAGTAATGTAATCTAAATAGTTAAGGATGTGGTTGTTCTAGTTTTAGGGAAAATGCGAAATTTAGCTCAGGATAGGAAAGAGTGGAGGTACCAGTCCAACCAGTCTTAGGACTGACGACTTTATGATGATGATGATGAATGTAATCTAGGTCTACCTCTACCCCACCTAACTTCCGTTTCTGCCTGTAATATGTCTCTGACTAGACCTTCATGCCTGAGAAGGTGTCCTACCAAACTATCTCGCCTATTTCTTAATGACTTCCTGTTCTCTTACTCATTTTAATACCTTTTAATTTCTAACTTTATCTATTCACGATTTACTTATAATTCGTCTGTAACACCACATTTCGAACNAAGTAAATATCAGCCCAAAACAAGATTGTTAATAAATATATGCTATTAACGTATGTAGAATTCTTTAATCGTTACCTTGTCTTCAATTATTTCTTTATATGGTTCTAGAGAAATGGGTCGACTTACAATTGCTATGAAAATAAATTTGAATTATAATTATTTTCAGGATTAAAAGAGTGTTAGAATAGAGTTCAGTAAATTACGGTAGTAGTAGTAGTAGTGTAGCTAGGCCGGTTCTGTACCCGTTCGATCATTCAACTTGGCCTTCACCTATTTATAGATACGTTTAATATTTTTTTTAAAGTACACTACTTCTACAACAGTAAAAACATTGTTTTTTTCATACCCAAAGAAAATGTAAATTTTAAAATTGAATACAAAGTTCCGACATGTAGTTGTAGCATGTAAATACAATTTTATTTAAGCACTGTAAGTTTATATTATTATATACAGTAGAGTAAAATCACAAGAATCTTCAATTTCAATCGCCTATAAAATCGTCATCCGAATATCCTCTCATATATTTTCCGTTACGATTTAAAAGCTGCAAATTGGTATAGGTACATACAGCACAACCTACAGGCTTATTATATATGTATGTGTGTTGTGTATGCCACAACATATAATAAATTTTTATGTTTTTCTCCATTATAAGGGCTGATGGAAATGACAAATACGTACCTTGGCTTTCTTTAATTAATAATAATAATAATAATAATAATAATATTAATAATAATAATAATATACAGGTCGCGTCGGAAAATGCTGAACAGCACAAGCAGCATTTACACACTTTATTTACTCGCCTGCATTCCTACGGCATATTACTCAATCCAACGAAATGCCATTTTGGTAAAGAAGAAGTCTCTTTTCTAGATTATCCTGTTTCGGCAAATGGAATACGACCTTTACCCGACAGAGTGACAGCAATCATCAACTTCCCCAAACCAAGTACCGCAAAAAATTTTTGGGTATGCTCAACTTCTACAGAAAGTTTCTGCCCAACGCTGCCAACGCTCATTCTGCTTTGAATAAAATTCTACTGGGGAAAATANAATAATAATAATAATAATAATATTCTCAATATTATTTAAACGTTAAAAATAACAAAGGAATAAATGCTTCATTAGCTGTTTTGTTAACATTCTTATAAACAAACTTCTTTTTTATGATAATTTTCAACAATTTTAACCGTTAGTTATAAGTTTTTTCAGCATCCCTTTGCAATAATGACGTTACTAATTATTATATAGGTATGATATATTATTAGTGTAACAGAATTCTGAAATTGTAATGTTTAACCATTATAAACATCGACTCTGCACTTTCCTTATGTAAAATGGCCCTCGGTGAAACTCTGAAATTTTGGAGTCAGGTAAACTGAAATCCACAAATAACGAAACTCCAAGGGGTTAATTCCTGAAAGAAAGATTTTTGAGGACTTAGCGGACATTGAGTCTTTTGATTCATACCTGAATCCACAGTATTAGCTTATCCGAAGGTCATTTTCCATTAGGAAAGTGCGGAGTCCTTTAAAACAATTTGAACAATGGAACAGCAACGTATTGATAACAGTTAACAAAACAACTTTGCTGTGCGTTAGTAATAAGGAGAAGGCACAACAAATTTTGTCGTATAATAATTAGATATTAAGTGCACAATTGAAGCAGATCCAATTTTATTTTGTACGACGACAAATTTATAATTTTTCAATGTCCAAATGTGCACTTTATATTCAACAGCATATTATCTAGTCAATAATAATTAATAACAAAGTTGTGCCATAAAAGCTGTTTCTGAAACCTATTTGTTTATTTATTTACATATTAACAACGATCGTTTCTCTTCTATCTAATTAGACTAAACTATATATTTGGTCAAATTTGTACTGAAATAATTATTTATTTATTTGCAGCTGGCATACAGCATAATACTGATAGTTTTTTATTTTAAATTGAACGATAAGTAGATAACCCAAGAACTTAAAATTTGTAGTAAATCTAAAACCATTTTCATTTAAATTTTTTAATTTTTCTCTGTCCAAGTAAATGTTGTTTTGCAAGAAAATTTGCCTTGCTTCCGATTATTGCCCTTAATATACTATTACTATTTAGTTGACTTAATTTAGTGTAACGTTGTGGGTTTCAAAAACAGCTGATAATATAACACAATACGTAACAGTGGTAATGTGCATGGTTATTTACCTCCCAATCCGAATTTCATAAAAATCAGTTCCTTTCCTTTTGAGATTATATCACCACCTGGCGCCGTAATTTCGTTCAGCTTTTGCATGAGGTTGGGTCCTTGTTGTTGATTTGTTTGCTGCTGTTGTTGTTGTTGCTGCTGTTGCTGCTGCTGCTGTTGTTGATTCATCGGTGCCGAATTAACGTTTGGTACAACTTGAGGAACTCCTTTATGCATTAACCTCGACGCAATTTGTCCCCCAGCACTACCCGTGAAAGCCTGTTGTCCTCCACCACCGTAACCTTGTTGGCTGCTACCAGGAAACGCCTGTTGTGTTCCTCCAAATGTTTGCTGACTGCTGGTACCAAACGGTTGCTGTTGACTGCCCCCTCCAAACATTTGTTGACCACTTGCACCGAATCCTTGTTGATTGCTGCCACTAAAACCTTGCTGGCCACTTCCACTACCACTCTGACCACTGAAAGGTGTTTGTCCCATGGTGTTTTGATTGCCGAAAATGCCTCCAGTTTGACCTGCAGGAGGCTGTGCGTAGCTCTGTTGATTCGAAAGTTGTTGCTGGTTGGTGCTTTGTGACAAATTACCACCTCTCGTTCCGATCACCCCCTCTCTCGCCCTCGCCTGCAAATTGGTTGTTGTTAAATTGGTGAAACGTAAAAATTGCAACATTTATAATGGAGAAAAGGGGTAGGAAAGGAACGTTGCAATAATTTTCATTGAGTGTTATTCAGTTCGTGCTGTTTTATATCGGGGTTTTGTGAATGTCATGTTTTCCCTGAAACATTACAGAAATTTTTTTAGTATACATTCTACTAAGTATTTACCAAAATAAAAAATATCTAACTAGGTGTTAATATTTCAATAAA